AGTTGTACGATATATTCCAATTCCTAGGGGCATATACTTTGTTGTTCCAGTTAATTAGGGGTGAAGCCTTTAAACTTGTTTTTTTCTGTAGAGTATTTTTTTCTTTTTTCCATTTTACCTACACGTATACCTTACAAACACGCCCTTTCTCAAGACCGATCCTTGCAAATTTAAATTCAAACAAGCCCCTCTCCCATCTCATCTGCGGGAGGGGCATTGAACGGCCCGCGGGCGCTTTCTGTGCACCCGCTCACACTTGTCTACATTGGGTCAATCCCGAAGGCATTATTTTTCGACGTATTAGTGAATCATGATTGCTTTACAATTTCCTTTTGTGATTTAACATCGGAAATCAAATAGTAACTACTAGAATATCAGGAAATAAACAGAAACAAATCTCAGTGGGTAAAACCCTTCTTTGTTTTGATAGCGAGGGTAGAAGCGCGTGAAGGGGAGAACAAAGGAAGCTCTGTGGCCGTCCCTGCAAACTCATAGAGAAACATGTAGAGCTCCAAATACCGCTTTGGTGAGACCGCCTACCCGCTGGAATCTAACTACTAGTATTTCGAATTGAACGTGTTCTTATGTTTTCTGAATGATCTCGTGATGTGTTCTGAGAGTGGTTGTGGGGCACAAGGGCTAATTTTTGTCGCTCAAGATTTTTGAAAACGGCTTCCTTCCTTGTATTCATGTATGAACGTCGGCTATTGAGTGGCTTATCGTGGCCTCCTATAATTTAAGGGTTGCCCGTTATAAAAAAAATCCTACTCAGCTTGTCAGTGTGACATATTTCTGTTTATAATCAATAGCAACCATAAGTTGTGAAAAGCGCGCGGGTATTTTTTGATGTAATTGTAAGTAAAAGTTCAAAAATGTGCATGATAATATTTAAATTTGCATAGTAATTATAATAATTCTAGTTTCATTGCTGATATTCTCATGAGAATAATTTCATTTATAGTCATTATCCGAATCGCGTTAAGTTTTTGATGCCCATGTTGACGCAGTTCGAGAGGCCTACACTTGAAAGTGAGCGCCAATTCCGATTCCAAAATGCAGTTCTGGTATGTGGATTTATTTAACCGGTTCGGAGAACCAGTGGATTGTCCACCTCATTGTTTCTTTTCAGGAATTGGTATCCGATTTATGTTGCCCCTCATTATGGAGTGCTGAACCAGATTTGGAGTTCTCTGATTGTGAAGGATGTCCGCCAATTGATTCAATTGAAGAATCACCCACGAAGGATGCTTTCGTAGTGCCGAGTAAGAAAGAAGAAAAGGGAATTCAAGTGGAGCAAAGTAAGAAAGAAGA